GCCAGTGGTGAGGTTGGTTCCGCCACACTGTTAGCCGTTGGATTGTTTTAATATTGCCATTGTGTTGCATACTTATGTTATACTAAACATTCACTGATTGTTATCATGCATGCTGCCTAATATTATTATTATTTTATTTGTCACAATAAATTATATCTATTTTTATAACAAATTGTGATTTTATTTGTATGGAATACATTTCACTTACATGATGACGATCTCTAAGATCTAAGAGAATTGAAATAGTGGGCAATTCTCAACTGTATATTATCACCCCATAAATATCCCCACAATACACATCATTTACGTCATATTTGCTCTCTAGCCCGGTTGGTGAAGCCATTATCCAATCGGAGCTGAGGGCAGGATATTTAAATTACCGTTAAATTTAGACTCGGTTCCCCTGGAAGAGCCAGTAAATGCGCGTCGGGACAGTTTAAAGCAGTGGGTGGCATTGTTAGCAATTTTTTTTTTACATTAACTGCTTTTCTGTTCTCATTTCTTGCTATTCAACCTATTACCCTCTGAAGTCGGTGTGTTTGTGGCAACCTATGACATGGTTTTGAAACACTGGTTGGAAATAATGATATTTTATTTTTGTTTATTTGAATGTGTTATCTGTTTAGAATGATACAATTCAATGAAAAAAGAAATGCCTCAAAGAGAATGTTCTATGAAAAATTAAAAAAAACTATTTCTACTTAGGCAAGTTAGGTGGCCACCTCATGCTCACTGTGGATTTGAAGTTGCTTTACTCACCATAGGGCAGACTGATCAGTGACTTAAGGGCCTGAGACCAGGAGGGGGCGACTTGCTCTGTCTGCTTCTGGGTGCAGGGCCCCTCCACTCAGTCTGCCCAGAAAGAGACAGCTAATCAGCCTCTAGGTATGCAGCTCTGCTGTGTATAGTGTTGCAGACTGTGAACTAGGTGTCTTCCAAGCTCCAGCCAATCAGAGAGTTGACGCAGGTTAACACAGCAATGCTCTGACACTTCCAGTAACAAAGCATGCAAAACACCTACCACATGGGTTGTACCCGTCAGAGTTGCAGACCAGATTGCTAGCCCAACAGATCTCAGGGAATTGATTACAGACAAAAAAAGAAAAGGTATTTCATTGTGGAGAGACTAGTCACTGAAACACAGCCTTCACCCTGCCACACTTGCATTAGACCTCACCCTATCACATTAGCCCCTCGAATTCAACCATACCCTGTAATCGTGTATACATGATTAGCAGAATTGCAAATTAAATGTGTTTCTTGCAATTTAATTTAGTTTGCAAATTATGTCATAGCTACAGTCAGAGAGCTAACAACGGGTCGGGACAGGGAGCCATGACACTGGAAGCCTCTGAAAAGTGAGCATATAGACTAGCTCTTTGTATCCAGCACTGCAAGGTTAACCTCCAATATAACTACAGCTCCTTATATACACAATGCAACTACTACTTATCTATTCACTATGGGTGCTAGTAGGGGCCTCATGTTTGAATTTTGCCCAAGACTGTAGAGCCACCACTGTGTCCTGTCTTGAGTAGCTTCTGGGCACGTTGTAGGGCTTATTCTTCTTTCAGTAGTGCAACTTAGTGCAGGTCTCAGATACCATGGTTTGGGCAGTGCACAAGGCAGTTCTGGGGGGACTGTTCATTAGAAGGGCCTCCTTCCTGAAAAGACACCACCAAAACAACCTCTTCGACTGCCATAAACAACTAGCCATAATCTCCAAACAAAACAAACAACAACCTACACCAACACTAGCAGCACAATTACAAACATTGCACACAAGACTAATGGAACTAAAAACGCAGAGAAAACTAAAACCTTGCTCTACAAACTTAAAGCCAATGTCTACCATAATAGCAGTAAAGCCAGTAAACATCTAGCCAATAGACTTCGAACCAGATACGCCAATACTAAAATAGCACGCATTATAGGGGAAGATAGCACACCGCACCAGACACCAGCAGACATCAGCAGGGAATTCGCTAAATTCTACTCTAAACTATACAACCTGCAATTATCAGGTGCCACATACACAGCGAATCACACGGAAATAGATAACTACCTAAGACAGACCAACCTCCCCCAACTATCCCAGGCTCAAAAAACAACACTATCCAAACCAATAGACCTACAGGAAATCCTGAAGGTGATAGTGGGTCTACCAAAGGGGAAATCCCCAGGGGCAGATGGTCTCAACAATGACTACTACAAACTGTATGCTAACGAACTCGCCCCACACCTCCTTCAAGTGTACCAAACAGCCACGAACACAGAGAACTTGCCACCTTCTGGCCACTATTGTCACCCTCCCAAAACCAGGAAAGTCCCCTGATAAATGCCAAAACTACCGACCATATCGCTACTGAATACCGATGCTAAAATATACGCAAATATCTTAGCTAACAGACTTAGATACATTCTGCCTGACCTCGTAGGAGACGATCAGGCGGAGTTTGTGACAGACAGACAGGGGCTAGACAATACACGGAATCTAACATTACTACTACTATAGCACTTATGAAAAACTAGGGAGGGAGATCTGCTCCTGGCACTAGACGCGGAAAAGGCGTTTGACCGCCTCAGCTGGTCATTTCTAGACCGAACCCTGAGAGCATACGGATTCCCAGCACAAGTCCTCCGGTCAGGATTCAAATCGGATCCCTTTAACATTTCCAACGGGACGAGGCAGGGCTGCCCGCTCTCGCCTCTCCTGTATGTATTAGCACTAGAACCCCTACTTCGCACTATTAGAGCCCACCCCCAAATAGAAGGCATTACAATAAAAAATACTGAATACAAAATCAGTGCCTTCGCGGGCGACATATTACTCTACATAACGCGACCCCTAGACTCCCTACCACACATCATGCAGGTGATACAGACATACGGCCACCTATCGTACTATTCCCTAAATGCGGTAAAAACACAAGCCTTGGGGATAAATCTTCCCGCACAAATAATTCGGACATTACGCACCAAATACAATTTTGAATGGAGGAAGGACTACATAACATACCTGGGGCTCCACATTACCAGACAGACTAAAGACCTAATACCAGGAAATTACATTAGAGTGTGGAATAACTGTAAAACGATCCTTAAAACTTGGGGTCCCCTCTTCCTCACATGGACAGAACGGATAATTGCACTAAAAATGTCCATACTCCCTAGATTACAATATATCTTTAGGACACTGCCTGTAACGGACCATTTTGCCCAAAACAGGTTAAAAACCGTTTAGGCGATATTCCCCTTTTTCAGCTGCACCGACAGCTACTGCAAGCACCAATCTCCTGAACTGCAAACCCACGAATTCACCAACTCCCGAACTGCAACCAAGGGAATACTCAAAACTCCCGAACTGCATACCAAGGGAATACTCGAAACTCCCGAACTGGAGACACACGAATAGCTGCTAGAAGACGAACAGGAAAAGCCCCCAAGCGGCTTACACTCCTGGCAATCAGTCTCTAACAGCATACAGTAAATCCTCCCCCAATAATGAGACGACACTTCACTTTGAGGGTTAAGCAGGAACTCATTTACTGGGGCTAACTGCCCGGCTTTTATGCAGGTCTCCCACCTGGTGGAGACTCCCCTAGGGGACCAGATGGGAGACTGGGACACAAAGGGTAAAAGGACCAATCACAGACTTACACATTTCAACCATCCCACAATGCATCACAATCCCTCCTCTCTGCTCTGGAGATAATTGAGAAGTAATTCAATTATCTCCAAAGACAGAGGCAAAACTCCATTAACCACATGGAAGAAAACAAACAGTAAAAGACATAAAATTACCTACAGTTACATTCAGTACATAAAACATATACGTTCTACATATCCCCAGATAGCTCAGGTCTGAGCGCACATTATTAAGCGAATGGCGCTCAGACCACACGAATACAGTTTAATCGCCATGGAGCCAAAGTCCTTACACAGTCAGTTTCATGCGAATGGGCTCCATGGGATTCCTATCTGGGGTACAACACACTCAAACAAAACTACCGAACACCGGGCCGTTTGTGCACTTTCACGGAACAAGAAGAGAGGTTGGCGGCTTCAGCAGTGTTCACGCAAAACTGTGTCCGATTTCAGTTCCATGAATTAAGCGTTGAACACCGCTGTGCATTCGCATGTTTAAAATGGCCGCGACCTTGTGTTCGTGATACGAATGGCGGTTAACCGCAGCTTCAGGGAGGTTAATTGCCGGCACACTCCAGCTCCCAGGTGGTCTATTCATTCGTGCGGTTGTTCGGTAGATTGAATCTACCGAACACCCGGCAGAAAAGCACGAATAAGTCTTTTCTGCAGGGAAAAAGATGTCTTTTAACATGGGGCCATAGTCCAAAGGCAGCAGGCGAGCAACCAGGCTTCTCCAGTGTACAGTGGCGAGGTTGGTTTCGCCACACTGCCCGTGAATGTCCTTCAAACATACTTTAAAACGATTCAGAAGGATATCGGCATGTACATATGGGCCGCAAAGAGTCAGAAAGTGGCGCGGAAACTGCTGACGGCACCGCTGACAGCAGGTGGACTGGTGGTACAGGACGTACAGGCTTACTACCATGCTTCCATACTGGCATCGGCAGTGGTGTATCCTGGTTTTGTGCTGCCCTAGGCAGGAAAAAAACTCAGGAGCCCCCATCCCCCCACCCCCCACCCAACCCTTCCCCCCCACCTTCTAAATACACACACACACACACAAAGTCAGACACACACACACAGTCAGACAGACACACAGTCAGACACAAACACACACAGTCAGACACACACAGTCAGACACATACACAGTCAGACACATACACACAGTCAGACACAAACACACACATACACACAGTCAAACACACACAGACACACACAGTCAGACACAAACACACACACACACAGTCAGACACACACACACAGTCAGACACACACACACAGTCATACACACACAATCACTCACATTAACACTTTTTTTTTTTAATTTACCCCCCCCTCTTTCTCCCTGGGGTCCAGTGGCTGCCGGGCGGGCGGCTGGTGAGGGAGCTCTTCCTCTGAGCGGTCTGCTCAGCTCCCTCGCGCGCCGCAGAGTAAGGCTGGGAGCTGGAATATGACGTCATCAACCCGGCTCCCAGCCTCACTCTGCGACGCGCGAGGGAGCTGAGCACACCGCTCAGAGGAAGAGCTCCCTCGCCAGCCGCCCGCCCGACCATCAGCTAGCGCCGCCCAGTGCCTGGCATGTCTGTTAGCCACAAGGCTAACTAGGCATTTGCCCTGGGCATTTGGGGGTGGGGTTTTTTGCCGCCCCCTGAAAAATGCCGCCCAAGGCAAATGCCTTGTTTGCCTCGCGGCTAATACGTCCGTGGGCATCGGCGATACTGCACCTCATAGACACTAGAAAAACACCTGATGGAACGATATGAGATCCCCATGTGCTGTGGCTACCTAAAACACTCAGACCGCCACTGACCGATACCCCAGCACAAATCACGCTACTCCTGAGAGTTTAGGACACGCACAGACACAAGGCTCTAGCTCCCAAATCTCACAGGCCACACCACTATGGGCCCTAACATACAGTATTCCCACATTTCATGCAACACCATGGTAAGAGAGAGGCATCACGACCCTAATCCAAGTTCACACGGGAGGCAAGCTCATGGATTTCAACACGCTTCAAAATACATATGACATACCGCCAACCTCACACTTCTCATACAGGCAACTATCATCATTCCTCCATACACATAGCCCAAAGGCCTCATGCAGAACAGTTCAAGCCCACCTGCTTACACTTTATGGGAAGACATATGCATCAAACGTAAACTCCCTACGGCTTGCAGACCATTATCTACTTGCTATAAACTGCTCCTAGACTATATTCCATTATCAATAGCTACACCGGCGACACAATGGGAAAGAGAGCTGGGCACAAACCTCACCAAACAGCAATGGGACGAACTAGTGAGCTCCCCTAGAAAATTGGTTAAATCTGCGACACTCATTGAACAACACATGAAGATGGTATACAGATGGTACTTGGTCCCGGCAAAGCTAAACAAGCTCTATCCATCCAGTTCACCAGAATGCTGGAGATACACCAAGCATACCGGTACTACCTTACATGTCTGGTGGCAGTGCCTGCTGATACATACCTTTTGGAGGGCCATACAGGGAGTGCTCAAGGAAATTGTGATCTCTGAACCACAATACAACCCAAGCACATACCTACTTTTTACTAGTGCTCCCTCCAATGACCCCACAATATATGAAGAAGCTGGTTTACCACCTCGTGCTTACGGCCCAACGCGTAATCGCAAGGGCATGGAAATCTTGCAATACTCCTTCCAAAGAAGCAGTCCTAGCAGAGGTGGATAAACAACGAATTTATGAAAAACACTTCCATAACATATGCCCCCCCAATAGTATGACACTGGCTACATGGGAGAGCCCACATGGAGACAAAAGCACCCCCCCAGATAGCCATCTGTCCCATAACTCAAGGGATAAATAAAGAGATGTAGGGACACCGAAAAGAGACGGTATAGAAGAGTAGAGGTTGAGACAAATTGTACACAGCAATGTGAGGTGACGAAAAAGCTACAAATGTATTTCATGACGGTTCCCCTGAGGGGAAGACCAATGCTTGTAAAACCAATTGTAACTAAGTAAATGCTGAATTGATGCTTCCCTCCCCCCCCCCCTCTTCTTTCCTTCTGTGCCCCCTCCCGCTCTTCATCCCTCTGTTTTGACAATTCAAAATGAAAACATAAAAATTGTCAAATTAAAAAAAAATATATATATATATATATATATATATATATATATACATATATCTCACATAGCATAGTGAAAAAATATATATATTTCTACTTGTATGTTAATGTTCCAAAACCTGGCAGAAATGGTTTATCTCTAGTCTATAGACATGAGTAAATAAAATTCTGTACATTTTGCGTATTTTGTTACAGCATTCTATGAAAAATTTTGTTTTGTAATATACACTATATATTTGTAAAAAAAACATACGTAAATATTCTAACATAGAATAATGATAGAGAAAGCAACATTTCAACAAAAAAAAAATTATAAATCTTATTTTTTATTGGTCTAAAATTGTTACATTTAGCTAAATGCAATAAAGATTTTCTTTGTTTTTATATCCTAATAACCACAATGATTAGACACACTTTTCTGTTTCACGTGAGATTTAAAAGCAGAATATTTCTTTTACTGTGAAAAATGCTTTTCTTCCATTGTATTGTAAGGCATTTTCAGAATAAAATGGGCTGACGTCTGACTTAAGGGGCAATTCAGATTACTAACGTGTGCCTTTAGGTCTGGGGCATATCACAGTGTACTTATACAGGATTGAAAATGACAAGTTATTTGGAGCCCTGCAGCTCACCGTAGACTAAGAGCAGGGAATATGTATTCATGCTTACTGTAATTTTCTTTTCCTGGCTATTATCCATGGAAGCACATACAGTTAGTTAGGTTAGCTCTACCAACTCACAAGAGATAGGACAGAAAAAAGAACAAAATTCTATAACTAGGCTACCTAATGATGTGACCCTCAGTTTGTGTTCCAAAGATCCCAAAAAATAAATAAAGGGTAAATTGAAGGAGGAAAACTGCACGCCATCAATAATAGTAGCCAGAAATGGAACATTTCAGTATATATAAATCGCTACCCATGGCTGCATTTACAAATACTTCATAACAAAGCTTGAGGTAACTAGAGGGAACTCTAGGAAGAATTCCAATTGTATTGAATGGCAAGAAAGTGTATAGAGTGGTTGGTTATCCAAGAACAAAACTGAGCACTGACTTTGAATGGTAACCTAGAATATAGAAGAGACATAAATAAGAAAAAGAAGACGTCCCTATTTAGCAGCGAGGGGTGTGTGGGTAGCTGAGTGTCTTGTGTGTGATTAGAATAATTGTATATATATATATATATATATATATATATATATATATATATATATATATATATATATATATATACACACACACACACAAACACACAGTTTTTTGCCCCACTGCTCTTTTCTTTGGACAAGGAGTATATGATACTGATTACGGGGTGGTCCAATGGGGTCTTTGATTATAACCTTGCTCTTTGGTGATCCATTGGGGCTGTGTTCATGGCTCTGTTCCCTGGTGGTCCAGTGGGCTTTAATCATGGCTCTGCTCCCTGGTATCCCAGCAAGGCCTGTAATGCAGCTCCCTGGTCTGCACCTCCACTTGAGATCACTGTAAAAGTTGCTTCCAGTCTTTGACCACGAGAGATAATTCAAATGATCAGCACCCACCTGAATTGCATCCACAAGCTGCTTTGTCACAATGAGGGATTATTTCAGGTCAAGTAAATCTGTTTAGCCTTGTTGTTGGCCTCTTCTCTGTTCTCAGGGCTGGGGCTTACAGTCTGACTTCCCATAAAGTATAGTCAATAGCCTTCTGTCCCCCAAAACAAGGACAGAATGTGCCTGTAGCAAGTGTGTTAAAAAATGAAAAGCTTAGAGTCATGTCTACAAATGCTCGCAGTTTAGGGAATAAGATCCATGAACTTGTGGCAATAATGGCAACTGATAGTGTAGATTTAGTTGCTGTTACTGACACATGATATAATGAGAAAAATGACTGGGACACAGCAATACCAGGGTACTCTTTATATAGAAAAGATAGGGAAGGCAAGAAAGGGGGAGGGGTGGCCCTGTATGTGAAGGATGGCATAAAATCTAGAATTTGGTAATCACACAGTAACTCGTGTAGGTGTGATTTATAGGCCCCCAGGACAAATTGAAGAGTTAGATAATCTACTAGTTGAGGAAATAGCTAAAATGACAATGAAGGGGGAAGTTATCATCATGGGTGACTTTAATCTTCCTGATGTAAATTGGAAAACAACATTAGCTACTTGTGCCAGGAGCACACATATTCTAAACTCCCTACTGGGATTGTCTCTAAAACAAGTTGTTGAGGAGCCAACTCGTAAAGAGGCCATACTAGATTTAGTGTTGCGCTATTGAAGGCAACAGAAAATTGCATTAGGATTGTCAGTAAAAGCAAAAAATTCAAGAAACCACTGTGGTACTCCGCAGATGTGGCCAAAATAGTTCAAAACAAAAAGTTAGCATTTAGTAATTATAAAAATACCTAGAGTGAGGAAGACAAAATGATCTATAAGATTAGGCAGAATGAAGCTAAGCAAGTTATAAGAGCTTCCAAATCACACACAAAAGAGAAAATAGCACAGTCAGTAAAAAAGGGGGACAAAACTTTTTTTAGATACATAAATGAGAAAAGGAAAGTAAAACAGGGATTAGATTAAAAACAAAAGAAGGAAGGTATGTAGAAGAGGATAAAGGTTTAGCTGACTGCCTCAATGAATATTTTTGTTCTGTATTTACAGATGAAAATGAAGGGAAGGGACCTCAGTTAAGAAAAAGGATAAATGAGTCATTTATTACACTTGAGTTTACAGAGGAAGAGGTTCTATTTCCACTGTCAAAAGTAAAGACAAATAAGTCAATGGGACCTGATGGAATACATACAAAAAGCTATTAAAAGAGCTTAGTGGTGTACTAGCAAAACCATTAACAGATTTATCTAACCAATCATTGTTAACAGGAGTAGTCCCATAAGATTGGAAGTTAGCGAATGTTGTGCCCATTTACAAGAAAGGTAATAGGGAGGAGTCGGGCAACTATAGGCCAGTAAGCCTTACTTCAGTAGTGGGGAAAGTGATGGAAACCATGTTAAAGGATAGGATTGTTGAACATCTAAAAACACATGGATTTTAAGATCAGAGACAACATGGGTTTACTTCAGGGAGATCATGCCAAACTAATCTTATTGATTTTTTTGATTGGGTAACTAAAATTATAGATCAGGGTGGTGCAGTAGACATTGCTTACCTAGATTTCAGTAAGGCTTTTGACACTGTTGCACATAGAAGGCTTATCAATGAACTGCAATCTTTAAGTTTGGATTCCAATATTGTTGAATGGGTAAGGCAGTGGCTGAATAACAGGCAACAGAGGGTTGTAGTCAATGGAATATATTCGAAGCTTGGACTTGTCACCAGAGGGGTACCTTAGGGATCTGTACTTGGACCCATTCTCTTTAATATTTTTATTAGTGATATTGCAGAAGGTCTTGATGGTAAGGTGTGTCTTTTTGATGACGATACTAAGATATGTAACAGGGTTGATGTTCCAGGAGGGATAAGCCAAATGGCAAATGATTTAGGTAAACTAGAAAAATGGCAGCTGACATTTAATGTGGATAAGTGCAAGATAATGCATCTTGGACGTAAAAACCCAAGGGCAGAGTACAGAATATTTGATAGAGTCCTAACCTCAACATATGAGGAAAGGGATTTAGGGGTGATTATTTCTGATGACTTAAAAGTAGGCAGACAATGTAATAGAGCAGCAGGAAATGCTAGCAGAATGCTTGGTTGTATAGGGAGAGGTATTAGCAGTAGAAAGAGGGAAGTGCTCATGCCATTGTACAGAACACTGGTGAGACCTCACTTGGAGTATTGTACACAGTACTGGAGACTGTATCTTCAGAAGGATATTGATACCTTAGAGAGGGTTCAGAGAAGGGCTACTAAACTGGTTCATGGATTGCGGGATAAAACTTACCAGGAAAGGTTAAAGGATCTTAACATGTATAGCTTGGAGGAAAGACGAGACAGGGAGGATATGATAGAAACGTTTAAATACATAAAGGGAATCAACACAGTAAAGGAGGAGACTATATTTAAAAGAAGAAAAACTACCACTACAAGAGGACATAGTCTTAAATTAGAGGGACAAAGGTTTAAAAATAATATCAGGAAGTATTATTTTACTGAGAGGGTAGTGGATTCATGGAATAGCCTTCCAGCTGAAGTGGTAGAGGTTAACACAGTAAAGGAGTTTAAGCATGCGTGGGATAGGCATAAGGCTATCCTAACTATAAGATAAGGCCAGGGACTAATGAAAGTATTTAGAAAATTGGGCAGACTAGATGGGCCGAATGGTTCTTATCTGCCGTCACATTCTATGTTTCTATGTTACTGGCCTCTTCTCTGTACCCATATCTGTAGCATACAAGCAGACTTCCCATGAAGTATAGTCATTAATAACTGTTTCCTACTCCAGTACTAGATGTACATAATTTACGTTGATGCTCACCAATTAGCTCCTAAATGGGACCCATTTATTATAAGTCTAAATAGGAAGTAAATTGGTAGCTCTAAAGCCAGACCCCCCATACTTAGATAGTAATCTAAGCTACGTATATACTTACATGATAAAAGAACAAACAAGGTAAGATATAATCAGATGGGTATTTGGCAAACTGACCGTCTAATTTGCTTAAACTAACAGCTTCTTCATGCACCCCATGTACCATCACCATCTGCTCATGTAGGTCAGAACTTGGCACCATAAGGAGTATAACCAGGAAGTCACCTTTGCATATGTACTGATTGCTGGTTCTATAGGGTAAACAAGCAAACTCCTGGCTCGTCTACAAAAATATAAAATAAAATCTTGTTTTTCCCACTCCTTTTTGCAGATCCTCTTCAAGTCATTAAGGTTTCGAGGCTGACTTTTGGCAACTCGAACCTTCAGCTCCCTACACAATTTTTCTATGGGATTAAGGTCTGGAGACTGGCTAGGCCACTCCAGGACCTTAATGTGCTTCTTCTTGAGCCACTACTTTGTTGCCTTGGCTGTGTATTTTGGGTCATTGCCATGCTGGAATCCATGAACCAATTTTCAATGCCCTGGCTGAAGGAAGGTGGTTCTCACCCAAGATTTGACTGTACATGGCCCCGTCCCTCGTCCCTTTGACGCGGTGCAGTTGTCCTGCCTCCTTAGCAGAAAAACACCCCCAAAGCATAATGTTTCCACTTCCATGTTTGATGGTGGGGATGGTGTCCTTTGGGTCATAGGCAGCATTCCTCCTCCTCCAAACACGGAGAATTGAGTTGATGCCAAAGAGCTCGATTTTGATCTCATCTGACCACAACACTTTCACCCAGATCTCCTCTGAATCATTCAGATGTTAATTGACAAACTTCAGACAGGTCTATAAATGTGCTTTCTTGAGTAGGGGGAGCTTGCGGGCACTTCACGGCATAGTGTGTTACCAATTGTTTTCTTGGTCCCAGCTGCCTTGAAATCATTAACAAGATTCTCCTGTGTAGTTCTGGGCTGATTCCTCACTATTTTCATAATCATTGAAGTGAGATCTTGCATGGAGCGCTGAGGGAGACTGAATTATTTTGTGTTTCGTCCATTTGCGAATAATCGCAGCAACTGTTGTCACCTTCTCACCAAGCTGCTTGGCGATGGTCTTGTAGCACATTCCAGCCTTTTGTAGGTCTACAATCTTGTCCCTGACATCTTCGGACAATTCTTTGCTCTTAAAGGACCACTATAGTGCCCTGAGGGTGCCCCCACCCTCAGGGTCCCCCTCCCACCGGGCTGGATGGAGAGGAAGAGGTTAAACTTACCTCTTTCTCCAGCGCCGGGTGGGGAGCTCTCCTCCTCTCCACCTCCTCTTCGGTTGAATGCGCATGCGCGGCAGGAGCCGCACGCGCATTCAGCCAGTCCATAGGAAAGCATTCACAATGCTTTCCTATGGACGCTGGCGTCTTCTCACTGTAAAAATCACAGTGAGAAGCGCAGAAGCCCTCTAGCGGCTGTCAATGAGACAGCCACTAGAGGCTGGATTAACCCTATTAACTGCTATGTTTATAGAAAAAAGGGTTAATCCTAGCTGGACCTGGCACCCAGACCACCTCATTAAGCTGAAGTGGTCTGGGTGCCTATAGTGGTCCTTTAACCATGGTGGAGAGTTTGGAATCTGATTAAAATTGCTTCTGTAGACAGGTGTCTTTTATACAAGTAACGAGCTGAGATTAGGAACACTCCCTTTAAGAGAGTGCTCCTAATCCCAGCTAGTTACCTGTATAAAAGACATCTGGAAGCCAGAAATCTTGCTGATTTATAGGGGATCAAATACTTATTTCACTCATTGACATGAAAATCAATTTATAACTTTTTTGACTTGTGTTTTTCTGGATTTTGTTTTAGTTATTCTGTCTCTCACTGTTAAAATACACCTACCATTAAAATTATAGACTGATAATTTTTTTGTCAGTGGACAAACATTCAAAAATCAGCAAGGGATCAAATACTTTTTTCCCCTCACTGTATAAGATATTCAAGTTACATGTTTGATTATCGGATTTAAAGAAAGGGGCTCTCCACAGACACTTTTCTATAATAAAGTTAACATTTTTAAAACGTCAGAAAAGATTCTCTTGTCTTTGAAGTCGTAACAAAAGAAGTCAGAGAGTGAGTGAATTAAAATGTATTTTGTAATTTGGCAATCTGTCATTAGAAGATGTTATAAGGAAGCAATGAAAACCTGTAACTGATGCACCCCCTGAATTTCCGTACTAGACAACTTGGTTAGAGACAATATGACTAACTATAGCTAAAATTTCCACGCATTTCACATTCCCAGGGCCCTCCCCAAGAAGGGTCATTTCCATTGATGTAGCTGTGTGCCTTGCAGTGTCACATCTATGGTGAGACATTTTGTGCATACATTTTATGTCAGTCCCAACCCATTCTAAATTTATTCAGTGTAATATTTCACAGCAAAAATATCAGGCTATTGTACATGTTCCCAAAATATGATTCAGTAAAAAGTTGAAAAACAGAGAAGTCCTCAGGATTAGGGAAATAGATACCTTTAAACATAGGGGTCTTAAAGGAACACGCCGATTGATTTTTTTTCTAAGACAGGAAGGGTCGGGGGTCACAACAAAATGTTTCT